CTATTTGTTGAGAAAAGTAGCTTTTAGTAGCATTAGGCTCAAAAAAGTAGCCAAAAAGTAGCCTCGTATCAAAAAAGTAGCAAATAGTAGCTTTTAGTAGAAGAGTGCGAAGCCTGAACCTCAAAAAACATGTCAGAATTTATGTAATTTATGTAACACACAAATTCTTTAAAAACTGATTAGGTTTATTTGAAACTTATTTCTCGGGGGGTTCGATTTGTCTCAAATTTTCAGAGAATACTTTTGAAATGTTATATTTTTAGAAAATGCAATTTAAAAAAATCGAATTTTTGAAAATTCTAACTGTACGTAACCCCTGAAAGGAACAAATTCTGAATTTTTTGAGTTAGTACTTAACTTTCCCAAAAAAAAAATTTTCCTGAATTTTGTTAATGTATTATATACCTACTTTTTCAATTCATTAAATGTTTCTTTCTAATAATATGTAAAGTATTTTATAAAAACTAAATTTTTTTGAAAAAGTAAAAAAATAGAAATTTTTTATTTTTTTTTTGTAATTATAATTGAAAAAAAAATTTTTTATGTATAAATGATACTATCTCATTAAAATTATAAAAAATAAACACTTTCTCAAACTTTTTCCTGCATTTAACATTCTAAAAATGCTCTTATCAAAGATAAGTATGTTATAAATAAATATTTATAACATACTTATCACTCATCGAAGGATATTAAGTTTGGCTTTAAAAATAGAAAAAAAAGAAAACAGGGTGGTTTTCAATTTTCAATATTTTTTCAGTGTATGCTAAATCTGGGTTTATCTTTATTAAGTATTTGAAAAATAGATTTATCAAAATTTTTGAAAGCTTTCTTCTATTTGTTCAAATCAATAAATATTTTTACTTTTTTTTATTTGAAATGAAGATTTTTAGCTTAATAGAATTAAAAATTTGAAAAATAACTAATTTCGCTTAAATGCGCATGTAAAATTACATTGAAAGATAATTAAATTTTCAAACTAAACTTTGAATAAATATTATAGAATTTTTAAAAAATTTCTTTTTACCATAATTAAATGGTATTACTTAGCGCATAAAAATTTCATTTTTCATAATTAATTATTGTTATTATTGCTTAAGTAACATATTATATCTTTTCAAATTTGAAATTCTTTTTTAAAGATTTCTTAACATACACAATGACATGTAAAAACTTTTGATCAATTATAACTTAAAACTTATGAACAAAAAATTTTTTAAAAACTTCCGATTTTAACGCCTGAAAAAGTGACAAGACCCCTTAATGTAATTTTTCGAAAATAATTTAATTTATTAAAAGAATTTTAGTATAATTTAAAAAAAATGATTAATTTTTGGATGAATTTTAATTAAAAATTTTGAACATGATTGTTTTTTTCTCTTACAAAAAATTTGTTTTCCTGGCATTTCCCTGACTTTATACTGATAAAAATTTTGTTTACCTAACATTTCGCTGACACGTGGACACCCTGATATTTTATAAATTTAAAGAATTATTCTACTCAAAAAATAACAAAAAATCTGTATTTTTTAAATTTTTGATACGATTTTGTTTGTACTTTTTACGAATATTTTATAATTTTATAAAAAAATTGACTTTTTTTTATTTTCTTTTATAAAATCCGGACGTTTATAATATAAATATTTTTAACCGTTTTGGTTGCTCTTGGGCTCATTTTTTTCTTACTCTTTTATGAAAAATTACTCAAAATGAAAAATAATAAAAAACAAGAATAAAAATTCAATTTTTTGAAAAAAGAAAAAAATTTTCTTCCTTTCCAAATTTTCAGGATTAATTTGTACTAATGTGTACTACTTACCATTAACTATATTAATCTCCGTATTCTTTCATTCATTCTGTCGGCAGTTTGAAATTAGTTTCTGTGTATGATTCTGTTTTTTTTTCTTTAAAAAATATTGTTTGATAAATCGAAAATATTCAGGTATTTTTTCATGATTTATAATAAAATAATATTTGAAATCGGAAAATTTAATATACATATTCCCGTTTCTTAATATTTTTGTAGAAAATTTTCAATTTTCATAAAGAAATTATTTGTATCATTTCTTTTTCTTAATTAGAATTGCTTTAATAAAATTTAAAGTTTTTTAAAAATAAATTAAATAATGTTTATAAATTCTATTTGTTAATTGCAAATTTTAATTGAAAAAGAAACTTAAATTTTTTGGATTTTTAGAATATAAAGGAAAAAATTTTATTAAAAAAAATGTTCTGTTAAATTTATTTACGAATATCTTTAATTATAAAGTTATTCGAAAACAATAATTTCTTTTTTAAATATTTTATATATTTAATTATTATTATTTTTTTATAAGAATTGAGATTTTTAAAAATTTCAAATTCAAACCTTTATGAAATGAAATTAATATAAAACATGTTTTATAATAATTAGAATAATTTGTTCTATAATAATAATTATTATTATTATATAATTATTTATTATAATTATAATTATTATTAAACATTCAATTATAAGTGAATGTTTCTTAATATTTAATTCTTATAAAGAATTTTATTAACAAATTTTTTTGATGAATTTTAATAAAATTTTTTAGAATATGTAGTTACATTTTTCAAGGAATTCGATTAAAATTGTATTAAAAATAATTGAAATTCTGTGATGAGTTTTATTATTTCTGAAAATAGTTCAATTATTCAGAAGAAAATTACAAAAAATTTGTAAATATTTGAATTCCTGTGAAATTTTTATTATTTATGAAAATAATTAAATGTTTGCGTACCATTTTATTAAAATTGTTTTTAAAAAATTGAATTCTTTTGGGTAATTTTATTAAAATAGTAGATATTGAAAATCATTGAAATCAGGAAAATTTTTGAAAATAATTGAAATTTTGACAAGAATTTTATTAAATTTTTGAAAATAATTGAATTTTGAAGAATTTTTTTATTTATAAATATAATAATTGGGATTTTGTCGAGATTTTTTTTATAAATTTTGAACATAATTGAATTTTGTGATAAGAATTTTATTACATACTTTTGAAAATAATTGAATTTCTGCAATCATTTGTAACTTCTTCAAAATCCAATTTTTTTAGTGTTTTTAACTAAAATTCTTCTATGAATCCATTATTTTTAAAATTAATTTTAATTAATTAAATATATGTTGACAAATTTAACTAAATTTAGAAGATTTTAAATTATTAAAATTTTTCAAAAATTGAAATTCATTAAAATTTTTAAATAAATCCATTCAACATTGAAATTTTATAAAATTTTAAATTAAAACCGTTTGAAGTTCATTTATTTATGAAAATTGTAAACGCAACTATTTTAAAATTTAATTAATTTTGAAATATTTAAGGTAGTACGCTCGCGATCGCACTTTTCTATAGAATTCCCTGAAATTTAAAATCTGAATAGTTAATAACAAGATCTACAAACTTGCACAATTTTAAAACAATTGACCGTTTCTAAAACAAGATATTTAAGTTAAAAGTTTGTTATTTAACATGGTTAACCTGTAAAGAGTGCATATAAATGGCACATTTCTTCTAATAACTTCTAAAATTTTCTATAGATTTGAGAGTGACTGTCGCGAGCGTACTACCTTAAGTAAAATTATTCATTAAATAATTTATTTATTTTATGATAGTTGTTCAAGGGGTCATTCACAAACTACGTCACGCTTTTTTGGACTGATTTTTACCCCCTCCCCCCCTTCGTCATATTTTTTACATACAAAAAAATTTTTTTTCACACTTCGTCACACACAGCTCGACACCCCCCCCCCACCCCTAGGAGTGTAACGTAGTTTGTGAACGACCCCCAAGATTTAAGTTATTTAAAAAGAAATTTTTGTCAAAAATTGAAAAAATTGAAGGTTTTGTATTAGGATTCGTGGTAATTTTATAGTTTATGAGTCAAACAAAAAAGACACAAAAATTCAGAATTTTCTTATGAATTCTAAAAATTTAATTTTTTTCAGTACTTTTAATAAAAATTCCTGATTTTTCCCTGAATTCCCTATGTCAGAATATATGATTATTATAATTATAATAATATTAAAACTATATATTCCAATTCATATTTTATTTTTATAAAAAAAAATTTGAATTAAAAATTTTTACGTTCTATTATTTTTTTAATTGCTAATTTTATTTAAAAAAGTGATTGAGAAGGCTAGTTCCGAGTTAAAATATTATTTGGCGTTTTTTTGTTTATACTAGTCGTTCAAATTTTTTAAATAAAGGTTCACATTTGTTTAAAATAAACCTGAACATACTTTATTATGAGAGAATATTGTTTCGATTTAATCGATTAATTAAAAGAATATTTCAAATAAAAAAATTATAATGTTATTAAGAAAGAAATTTTTTTAACGAACCTAGAAAAAATATCATAAAAATTGTATCTATGAATTCCTATTTATCAAAAAAATAAGTAGAAGAATTTTTTCTACTTGTCTTTTTTAAAACATTGTTTTTTTTTCGTTAGGTTGCCTTTTTGAGCAAAAAAAATTTTTTTTTGAAAAATTGAATTTTTATCCTTCTTTTTAATCATTTTTTATTATGCGTTATTTTTATAAAAGAGTATAAAAAAAGGAAAAAAATAAGCCCAAGAGCAACAAAAAAGGTTAAAAATTACGCAATTTTATGGAAGAAAAATGAAGAAAAGTAATTTTTTGCTAAAATCTTAAAATATTCGTAAAAAGTGTAAACAAAATCGTATCAAAAATTAAAAAAATATTTTTTCTCGAGTAGAATAATATATCTCATTGTGAAAATAGTTGGCAATATATCATCGGATTGCCTGCATGATTTGATGTTATATATATATATATATTTTAAAAATATGTTGCAAAATTATTTGAAGACATATCATATAAGTCTATTAATTGAATGAAACTTGAATGAACATTACTTTGCACAGATAATTGATTAAGATATATTACAGCACAGCTTTTTCTGAGTTAACATTCACCGTTTGAAAAACGTTCAAAATTTTGTAAGTACTACCTGAACAATTGTTCCAGCTTTGACACCAAGAATATAATATTCAGCGATCATCGTCATAAGAATGCTGAACCTCCTGAGTGCAGTAAACATTGGAAGACTTATCTGCTTCGTGCCACCAAGTCCAAAAATCATGTTTCCTATGAAGATGATTGGCAGTGGCCAAATTTTTGTAAATGTGTCAGCTTGTAGGTTAGGGAAGTTCACATAGTGGAGTTTTTTGCCGACGAAGAGAACAATTATTGTTGTTAACATTTGTCCAATGCCGAGGAATTGATAAGAGGGAAAATCGAAGCTAGTTAACACTGTTTTATTCACAACGGTTATCAAAAACGATGAAATACCGTAAAATATTGCTGAAGCTACACGAGCAAATACAGAGAATTGTTGTTCAGCTGTCGGCTTCATATTTACACACACAAATAGCAATTACTTCAGGAGAATAAAGAATATTTTCTTTTTTTTTATATTAAAAATATAAATATAGTCTCGATGAAATAAAAATGCAACACATAACTAACGTACATGGAGTTAACCTAGTCATCGTCATTTGCTCCTCTTCATATAGTTGATGCTCTTCCAAACTTGTTGTCTACTTAGAATTTAATGAACGGTGCATAATAAAACAATTGTATTTTAAAAATGCGGAATTCAAATATAAGAATTTTAAAAAAATTTTGAGAAACAACACGTCAACGTGTTATCTGATGCTGTGTGTGCCGGTACTGATTTTCACACTCTACCGTTGGCTACACTGTTTATAAAGTAAAGTTAACTCCACAATAGAAAATATTTTTTAAAAGCTCCCATAAAGACGTAAAACGGAAAACGTTTATCCAATAAGGATTCTCTATTCAAATTATTTCTATTTAACAGAAGATTCTTATTGGTTAAACGTTTCCGTTTTTACGCTTCGGCCATACTTTATGCTCATTCCACACTTAGGTTGAGTCCACAATAGTACGTTGACCGCGTTTACGTCCAGGGTTCGAAACAGTGAAAGTATTTAAAAATACGGACTTCACGGACCAAATTGAAAAATTACGGACCATGCAGACCAATTACTGACAAAAATATAAACAGTCCAAGTCAATTAAGAGAAAATTCTACTTGAAAATTCAAAACCTGAATTTAAATTGTAAACAAACACTATAATTTAATTAATTATTGAGTTTTTATAAAGTAAAAATAATAAGTTCAGGCCGCAGTCTTATGGCAGTGTTTTGCGTTGCGTTGTAATGAGAGAGAATGCAGCAAACGTATATTTGCGTCTTTTTCTCTCCCATTACGACGCAACGCAAAACGCTGTCATGGGACTTCACCCTCACAAATTAAATATCCCAGCGGGCACACTTCTCTTTCTGATAACTTCTAGTTATCTTTTTGAGTAGATGTTAACATTTTGATGCCTTTTAGTTATCGTGTGCCGCCTGGGATTTGAGAGCGAAATATAAAAGGCGCGAGATTACGAATAATCTGACAATTTTTGGTTTAACTTTGGTTGTTCCATTGAACCGTTTTGCGTTGCGATTTGTAACTAGGCCACGAGTGTGAGAGAGATGGAAATATATGTTCGCTATATTTGCACTCATGGCTTAGTTACAAAACGCAACGCAAAACGGTGTTATGGGACTGCACCAATCGAATTATTAATATTAATTTAATCTTATTTATCTAATTTGTTATTTATTTAATTATTAATTTTAATATTTAGTGATTTAAGTCTAATAAATTACTTAAAACGAAATTACCTATGCTAGTGAATTATGGCGACTTTTGTATTTCTTTAAATTTACTAAATTACCAAAGAAGACACTACGCGTGACGTCACAGTGGAGCTCTACAGAGGCTATGCACATTGTTCAAGATAATTTGTCTATTGTGGACTCAACCTAAAAGATGTGTATATAAAAGTCATAAAAGTTTAAAGAAGAATTTTAGAAGAAATTCAGACTTTAAAAAATGGTTAAAATAAAATAAGATAAATTGATGGACAGCTTACAAAAAAGTTAATATATAATCTGCATCTACTTAAATGTCAATAATGAACAAGAGACATATTTTTCTACTTACTAACCATATTAAATGGATACATCTATCTCGCCGCACATTTTTAGAAAGTCGTTTAACCGGTAAGTACAAATAATCTTGTTTTGAGAAAGAGTTATCAGTTATTTACTGTTTAAATTTAAATATTTAAAGAATCTGTTAATAAACATAGTTTTTCGTTATTGAACTAAAATAAATATTTTAAAATATATTTAAAACTTCCATAGAATATTCAAAATCAAAATAAACTGAATGTTTTTTTATAACCTCAAATTCAATAGAAATAACTTCAAAACATTAATAAAATTAAAAAAGTTGCTCTGTAAAAATGATCAAGCGATTGCAGAAATTCAATTATTTACAAAAGTAATAAAATTCTTCGCAAAAATTCAATTATGAACAAAAATTAAAAAAATTCTCATCAAAATTCAATTATCTTTAAAAATAATAAAATTCTTCGAAAAAATTCAATTATGTTAATAAAATTCTTTATGATAATTCAATTTGGAGAAACATTTATTTATTCAGTAAATTATTTATTTTTGTATTTAAATAATTGAACTCTCGTAGAATTTTTTAATAAAAATTGATTTAAAAATGAATACTTAAGAATATATTAAAAGCATTATAGCATGATTTTTTAAAAATAATTGATAATTGAATTCTTTCGAAGAATTTTAATAAAATTTTTGAAAAAAATTTTTGAAAAGAATTACATTTTTCGAAGAATTTACTTAAAATTGTATGAAAAATAATGGAAATCCTGTGAAGAATTTTATTAATTTATGAAAGTAATTGAATTCTTTCAACAAGTTTTATCAAATTTTTTTTTAAATAATTGAATTCTTTTGAGAACTTTTATTAAAATAGTAGATTTTGAAAATATTTGAATTACAACGAAGAATTTTATTATATTCGTAAAATGTAATTAAATTCTTGCAACAAAATTTAAGAAAATAATTCCATTTTTCTAGAATTTTATTTTAAATTGTATTAAAAATAATTGAAATCCTCAGAAAAATTTTATAATTTATAAAAATAATGTAATTCTTATAACGAATTTAATCAAATTTTTTTTAAAATAATTAAATTCATGTGAAAAATTTTATTACTTGTATAAATAATTGAATTCCTGCAAAGAATTTTATTACATTTTATTTAAATAACTAAATTCTTTTGAAAACTTTTATTAAAATAGTAAATTTTGCAAATTTTTTAATTTCAGCGAAAAATTTCATTATTTGTAAAATGTAATTTAATTCTTGAAAAAAATGTTTGAAGATAATTTCATTTTTCGAGAAATTTATTTAAAATTGTATTAAAAATAATTAAAACCCTGTGAAGAATTTTATTATAATTTTCGTAAATAATTTAATTTTTTTTAAAATAATTTTATGGAAATCTAAAATTTTATAAAACATGAAGATATGAAGAAGACTCGGAGTGATTAATATCTTCATGTTTTATCATAATATTCTTATAAGTTGTTGAATTTAAAAAATGTTTGAATTTGAATGTTTTGAAGAATTTTAATTCCTATGGAAAAATAATAATTAAATACTTATTTAACCCTGGAAGGAGTAACTGGGGTGTCTGGACACCCCAAGCAAAATTCAAAGTATTCCCATGGCTTAATCAATAATTTTTTTACGCTCAAAACTCGTTGATAATTTAGTTTGAACCTCTATCTTTTGACAGCTGTATGTGCCGCCAAAAGTTTTGCTCTAGGAAGAGCTCTATCTCTTGTAAAAATACGTCTGGGGTGTCTGGACACCCCAGTTACTCCCTAACGTTAGAAAAATTGTCAAGATAAGTAAATTCAAATTTTTTTAAAAAATCGTTTTTAATCAGTTAAAATTATCTGTTAAAGTATAAATTTATAGGTTATGCATGAAAAAGTTGTATTTTATAAAAAAAAACATTTTTATACAAAAATTCTATTTTTATGAAAAATAGACATTCTGTATTTGTAACAACTTATGAAATTTGAGTTAAGATTTATTAAAAATTTCTGTGCTCTCTCTACAGTCAGAAATTAAATTCTAATACAGAAAAATGTAGTATATGACAGTCAAATTTTAATTATAAATTCTATATTGTTAATAATATTTTAACATATATTAGAGGTATTAAGAATTGTGAATTAAAACTTTGATTAAATATTAATTTACAGAATCATTTCATAAGTTATTAATTTTAATGTTAATATATTCAGATATATTAAGTTTGTAAAATTTTAAATTTATAACACCATTTTTAGTAAATATTAATTGTTTAAGTCCATTTTATAGTTCATTTTTTGATTTTCACTATTCGTCAATTGTCTTTAATTTCTTTCACTTCAGATGTTCAAATAATTATGTTTTTTGGAAGTAATACAAAAACTAATTTTTTCCCCTAAAAGTGTATCTATTCAACTTTAAAAACCTAAAATAGTTTTTAAATTAGTCAAATTTTTAAGAAACTACAACGTTTTTTGTAAAAAAAGTCAATTTTGCAATTTTTTAGTGTTTTTTTTGGGTTTTTATGGTTTTTTTCAAAAGTTTTTTAATTTATCAAAATATGAATAATATTATTGTATTCCTTACTAAAAAACCAATCAATTCATTATAATAAATTTTTTTTACGTCAAATATAAACCTTATAAAACAAGTTTAAAGAGTGTTACTCCTTAGAGGGTGAGTAAATTAACGTACTCCTTCTATGGTTAAAAATGAAGTTATTGATGTTTGCAAATAACTTTACAATTATAGAAATTCGTAAGTAAATGTAATAGAATGTTGAGATGGGCATTAATGACTTTTATTTAAAATTTTTTATGTTAATGCAAGATACTTAAGAAATATTAAAGAAAAACAAATTAAAAATGTCTGAGAACAAAATAATTGATCAAATTGACACCAGAGATGGAGATCTATTTGTAGGTTGAGGCGAAAGTTACAATCAAACGATATTAATTGAAGATTGGATTCAGTGCAGTAACTATATTACAATAGCTTTTCAATAAACATATGAACGGGAGGCGTCGAAGTGTTCAGTGTTTAATTATCAATAAAACATTAGATAAAAAACTATGAACATTTTCTCCGGACGTCCCCTAATAACAGGGTGGTCACAAGTTTCAGTTTATCAATTTTCCTGACAATTTACTGACATTAAAACTATTTTCCTTAAACAAAATTCTTTTTAAAAGAAAATATACAAGTTTACGGAAAATGAGTAAAATTTATGAATTTTAATAATTTCTAAAAACTACAATATTAACCATGCACCTGAATTCAATTATTTTCTACAATTTTCAACTAAACTTCAGCTCTAAATCAATTATTTTAAATAATTTTCCGAAAGTTCTTCTAGAATAATTCAATTATTTAAATATAAAACTCGATTTTTTATAATGTAACTGTTCATGTTTTTTTCTTAAGTCATTAAGTCGAAAATAATTGAATATTTTAAAATAAAAAACATAATTAAATAATTAAAAAATTATGATAAAACACATCTAAGAATAAGTTTTTAAAAATATTATTGTAATATAATTTTTCGAAATCAATTGAATTTCTTAAAAGAATTGAGCTCCCGCGGGTAATAACTCGATCTGCGCTTTAACTGAAAAATTCAAGCCAGTCAAGCCGTCAAAAAATGAAAAAAATAAAAGTTGAAATTTTTAATTTTAAAACATACTACCATATAGAGCATAAAAATGCGCAACTTTTTTGTTTTAGAAATTTTTTTGTAGGACTTTCATTTTTAATACACGGAAAAATGTAAGGTGCACATGCTATACCTTTAAAAAAATTTATCCAACAATTAACTTCACTTCATATAAAAACATTTTTCCGTGTAATAATGAACAAAAACACAATTTTTTTTATTCTTCAATTTCATTGAATTTCAAAATATAAATCGACTTTTCTCAAACAAATCTGCATGAAATTAATTAAAAATTTATATATACATACGTATAAGGGGCTACCAAAGACGATAAAATGATTAAAACATTAAAAAAAACTAATTGTAAAATTATTTGTTGATGTAAATAAAGACCTGTCGGTAAATACGTTTTCTCAACTTTGTAGAGAAAAAGTATGCGATGAACTTTCGAGTTAACAAAACTTCCAGTGAGATATTTGTTTATTCATATGTGAAGAAGTTTTTTGGAAATTTTTATTTAAATCGGATGAAAAATAAAGAAGATACATAATGTTTAAAAAAATATGCGTCGCGCGGCGTTCTGACATTTATTTAAAAATAAGTTTATTCATGTAATATATTTAAAATAAAAACAATTCTATACATTTATATTTGATAGGTAGCTTTTTACGTTTTTTAAATCTTTTTTCTAACTTTTAACTCAATCCAAGGTTAAGATTGTTTTGATGCACTATATACTGTGCATTAATGTAAACAAAGCAGGTCCTAGTATTTTTTTGAAGAAAATACAGTTTACTTTATTCCTGCCGTTAAGTTTTTCAATATTCCATGCGTTTTAAAATTGAAAATTAATAGTAAAGTTATAATGAAAAATTTAAATAATGTCAGAAGTAGAACAGTGTGCAAGGTGCTTCTAGAAAAGGACCAAAAAATGAAATTTCGTGTAAACGCAATGTAAAAAAACTAGCAAAAAATATGCTGAACAAGAGACTTTTTCCAACTCATTTTAGAAAAATACTGGTGATTATAAAACCCAGAATGTATTGCTCAGTAGATTAATAACACGTAAGCCTAATACTAGTGAAAGTCAATTATTACAGGATAAAACTAACGTCTTATGGGAATATTGTTTTCATTCTGTCACTAATCGTAAAACTGTTTGTCAAAAATTTGTGTGCACTTTATTAAAAATAAAAAATAGAAATGTTCACTGTAATTAAAAAAAAACTTCTTAACAATGAATCCCTTGACAACAACATGGGAAAGCATAATAATCATGTGATTCGATTAACTAATGATTTGAAAAAATGTATTCACGAACAATTCCTCACGACCAATCGCATCATAATTTAGAAAATTCAAGCCTTTTGCATTTCGAGAACTCGGAATTAACACTCACAAAGTTATATATTCATTATTTGTTGAGTAT